GTTATGTGCCATGCGCGATACACGCTTGGGCGATCATGTATCTTTTGATACATGGCTGACGAGGCAGATTTTTTTTCCCGAAGTAGGTTGCCATTTCTTTTTGCCGTAGACCAATTGCCATCTAAGGCTATAGAAGCCGGTCTGTTCTGCTATTTAGCCATAGCTGGGGGAAGGAGGAGAAGAAGAGGATTCATACCTTTCCCAAGCGTATTAGAACGTGAGTGAGTGCAATGGATTCAACTGAAATTCAAACTCGGCTCTCCGATTCCTCAATTCGAGCTTTCGAAATTGTATAGATGACAATGAACATATATATGCTACGAATTAAATTTTTAATGAATTTTAACCGTACCAAAAACATTCTTAACTATTTCTGTTTAAATCGGGGTATCATTTTGAAAAGTTAATCGGCTGATCGATTTGTGAGATGTCTCTTATGATGAAATCATTTTTATTAACCTTTAAAACTTTCGGTAACTTTTTTTCGACTTAATCTATCCCTTAAAGACAATATATCTCATATCTTCGGTAAAAGAACACGTTATAAGAGTCAGCAGTGTTTCCCTTGTCTACAAGATACCACCCCACCTTAGGTAAAAGAACAAGAAAACAGACAGACTGACAACGTCACTAGAAAATAATTCACAGAGCCTCAGACAATGACACGCAACCGAGGCATATGGAGGAAGCTGGTCAGAGATCAAATATATAGTGATCTGATGACCAAATTCGGCCATTGGATTGAAGTTGGTTATGATGATGATGACTAGTAGTATAGGTTAATTATTCTATAAAAGATTGATGAATTGAGCCAATTCAAATATGGTTGTTCGATTATCAGTGAATAGGGTTCCAGAATATAATGTAAAGAGCAGAATAAACAGTGGCAGCGGTCACAAAACTAAGAATTATCTGGAAAGGCAAGGCCATCAGCCTGATATACGCTGCATGCATATGCCCCCGCAAATGTTTTTTTCCAGCATGTATTCGAATTGTAGACATTCAGAACAGAATTACAGCGAAAAGTAAAAGCATTTGAAAACAAGGCAATGCAGGCCCATGTTAGGTAGTTTCCCCGTAGACTGCATCAAAAAATGACGCAGTGTGAAACACCATCAAGCAAGAAAAAGACCCACTTGAGGACCTCTTAACTATTTCCAAGAAGCGGAAGCTCGAAATAGCGCGGACACTTTATAAGCGCCAGCAATGTTTACGTTGCCTATAAGGTACCACCTGTTTTTTTTTTTTCTTTTTATATGCCATCTCCTTTCCTGACGTAGGCAATCATTGCCCTCCACATCTCTCTATCCCTTGCAGCTCTCAACAATCTCCTTCCCTCTGCTTCCTCCCCCAGACCACGTTCTGTCATCCCAGCTCGTCAGGTATGTCATACGCTGCTTTCCCTTGTCTCTCCTTCCCTCTATCCGGCCCGTGAGTATCAGGTTCTACAGGCCGTCCTTCCTCATTATGTGTCCCATAAGCTGCCTTTCTTCTTGTTTGTAACCTATCTAAGACGTCATCGCTGCTCGGTCCATGCTATCCTTAGAACAGAAGGATAGACAGGCTGGCAACGTCACTAGAAAATCATTCACGGAGCCTCAAACAATGACATGCAACCGAGCCATTTGTAGGGAGCTGGTCTGGGACTCAACTGCACAGTGATCTGACGACCACATCCGACCATTGGACTGAAGTTAGTGATGAAGATGATGATGATGACTAGCAGTACAGGTTAATTTTTCTACAATAATATCACTTCTTCGAAACACCCAGCATTACTAGAAATTGAAACGTACGAAGAAGACTTTATTTATTTATAAAAACAAGAGGAGCACATACTATAACTCATTTATATTTACGTAATATATATATATATATATTTGTGTATTTAAATATAATAGCATCGACGACATGTGAAAAAAGCTAAAAATAATGGAAGCCTTATTAATAAAAAGATAAAAAACCAACACTCAATAATATCAACAATGAACCTGGACACCATATCTTGACCGTGTTTTGAAAATGAAAACATTATATAAATACTAATATACAGTGTAACCCGGATGTAAGAGAGTTATCGGGAGCGGAGAAGAAGTCTCTTATACCCGGGTTTCTCTTATATCCGGGTTTGGTCTATTTTATATACATTAACACAGGCTCTAATTTGGGACCAGAGAAAATCTCTCTTATATCCGGGTTTCTCTTATATCCGGGTTACACTACAATAATCTATTTCTTGTTAACAGTTAATATATTTCAACCATGAAATGGCTAAATGTACAGCCGAAAGCTCTCGGTTAAAAAGAAAAATTAGATTTTATATATTTAATCATCCGAAAAGAAAAAAAAGTATTATATCACATGAGAAATTGTATAAAGAGCTAAATTAAAGTACGTTGCCTGACATAGTCAAAGAAATGTGTGCATGTATGTATATATATATATATATATATATATATATATATATATATATATATATATATATATATATATATATATATATATATATATATATATATATATATATATATATATATATATATATATATATATATATATATATATATATATATATATATATATATATATATATATATATATATATATATATATATATATATATATATATATATATATATATATATATATATATATATATATATATATATATATATATATATATATATATATATATATATATATATATATATATATATATATATATATATATATATATATATATATATATATATACATAAATATATATATATATATATATATATATATATATATATATATATATATATATATATATATATATATATATATATATATATATATATATATATATATATATATAATGTGTGTGTGTGTGTGTAAGTATAGCAAATTATCATTAGTTAAGTCATTTAAATCCGGACATATTTTTATCTCTTTTTCGGATTATCTGAAACGTTTAGTCGTTATGCGCTTCGGCTTTCTACTAGATTTTGTCGAACGAGAACAACCTGAGCAATACTAAATAAGAACAATCTACTCAGATTAAATAAGGGTTTTAATTTAAACTCCCATGATAAATACCCGGATCGACAGATATCTGAAGAACGACGCTGAGTACAACAGTAGAAACGTCGTGACAAGTTCAATGATCCGACACTTGTTTGAATGTAACATTTTGGTATTGATATAGTTATATATATATATATATATATATATATATATATATATATAGATATATATATATATATACTCACTGTGTTTTTGTTTTTTTTTTATTTTTAAATTCCGGGTCTTCAAGTCTCGTTAGAGTTCATGTCGGATTTTTCCATGCATGAAAATCCGACATGGCAGTCATTGATACAGGAAAGTACATGCAGTTTTGGAAATGTATTTCTAACTAACGAATAAACATACTTTTTTATATAAGTAACTGTACACAGATACAGAATAAGTAAATGCGTATAGAAAATAGAAAGAAATTGATTTAATAGAAATAAATCCCAGTTATCCATTTGAATAGGTGAAAATTTGCTTTAATACTCTAGATTATTCAAGTACAATTTTCTAGAATGTTGCCCTAATGTTATCAGTAGCTATTTTTAGCCTAAAAATACAAACAGAACATTCTGTAATAGATATTCGTGCAAGAAGGTTATCATCATGGCAAGAGGTAAAAAATTGATAAATTCGCAAAAGGAACTCATTGTTAAGCTCTGGAAAAAGGTAAAAGTTACAGGAAGATCTTAGACAACCAGAATATTCGATTTGCAACCATTAGTCCATTCATTGAAAGGTATAAAAAATCAGGTTCTCCACGGAAGAATTCTGCAAGATCTTCGAGGAAATTAATGCGTCAAATAAAACAAAATCCAATGGTTACTCATCAAGTTTTGCAGAATGATTTACTTTCATTAATCTGTGACTAAACGGATAATCAGCAGTGAAATTCATCGCAACAATCTAAAGTCACGCTGCCCTCAGAAAACTCTACTGCTATTAAAAAACACAAAAAAAACACAGAGATGACAGGATTAAATTCGTTCGTGAACATAAGGATAAGGAAAAATCGTATTAGGAAAGAGTATTACGGATAGAAAAAATCAAAACTGATTTGTTTGTACGTAATTCTAGAAATCATGTATGGAGGAAAGATGGCGATATCATAAAACAAGAGAACAATAGTGAAAATTTGATGGTGGCAGCATCATGGTTTGGGGATGTTTTTTCTGTAAAAAGTACTAGCAACATATCAGTAATAGATCGTAGAATGAATGCTGCAGCATATCAAAATATTTTGGTTGCAAATTTAATGAATTCGGTTGAAAATCTTGAACTACCTTCTGATTGGATCTTCCAAATAATAATAATAATAATAATAATAATAATAATGATCCCAAGCACACAGCAAAATCTACGAAGAAATGGCTGGCTGAAAATAATGTAAATATCCTGAAATGGCCAAGTCAGTCCCCGGATTTAAACTCAATCTGTGGCCTTATTTGAAAATTCAAATCCAATCGAGAGCGCCAATAATCATCGCTGATCTGAAGACCATATGCGAAGAAGAATGAAACAAAATACCAACTAAAATGTAGAAATTATTAGTTGAGAACTACAAGAAGACGTTGGTTGCTGTAGAAGTGAATAATGGCGATTCTACAAAGCAGAATGAATGAAGATTATGTATTCTTTTTTGTATTGTGCGAATATTTTTTCACCCATTAAAATGGATAAATGGGATTTATTTGTATCAAATCATTTTTCTGTTTTCTACGCATATTTATTTATTAATCATCTGTGTACATTAAATTATATGAAAAGTATGTTTATTCATTAGTGGCAAATACAATCAATTAAAAATTTGTATGTGTACGAATATTTGTTTTCCCCACTGTATATACAAACAAAAAGTAAGATAAACTGAAACAGAAGAAAAAAAGAAAGGACGAAAAAACAGTAAGATAGAATGACAGTCAGAAATAAAAAATGTAAGAAAGAGTCTAAGATAGATAGATAGATAGATAGATAGATAGATAGATAGATAGATAGATAGATAGATATGAACAGACTAATCTGGATAGCCAAGTGAATAGGTAGATAGAAAATATGAAAGAACGAACGAAAGAAAGAACGAAAAAAGAGGCTAAGCTCCATATAGCTAGATACAGAGATAGATAAACAGAGAGTAGAAAGAAAGAAAGAAAGAAAGAAAGAAAGAAAGAGAGAAAGAAAGAATAGATATACAGGTAGATAGTAAATGCGAAAATCGATAGCTGGATAGATAGATAGATAGATAGATAGATAGATAGATAGATAGATAGATAGATAAAAAAACTAATCTAGATAGCCAGTTAAATGGGTAGCGAGAAAATATGAAAGAAAGAACAAAAAATGAGGCTAAGCTCCATATAGATAGATACAGAGGTAGATAATCAGAGAGTAGAAAGAAAGAAAGAAAGAAAGAAAAAAAAGAAAGAAAGAATAGATATACGGGTAGATAGTAAATGCGAAGATAGATAGATAGATAGATAGATAGATAGATAGATAGATAGATAGATAGATAGAAAAAAACTAATCTAGAAAGCCAGATGGGTACCTAGAAAGTATGAAAGAAAGAAAGAACGAAAGAGAGAGAAGATATGCAACATATAGATAGATAGAGAGATTGAAAAAACAGAGAGTAAGCCAGAAAGAAAGAAAGAAAAAAAGAAAGAAAGAATATATATATATATATGTACATATACAATACTATCTATCTCTCTGTATATATATTAATCAGAATATTTATTTGCCATGTATGCACACAAAAAGAAATATATATATATATATATATATATATATATATATATATATATATATCTATCTATCTATATATATATATATATATATATATATATATATATATATATATATATATTATATCGTATACATATTACACAAAAAGCAGGTAAATATGCCTGCATATCCAAGAAGATTTGTAAAATTAATACCCCCACTGAAAACTACCATGTATATATATATATATATATATATATATATATATATATATATATATATATATATATATATATATATATATATATATTTGTGTTTCTGGCTTTGTGTGTGTGCAGACTTTGGGATCAACACTCATATTTCCATACACTTATTATTTACGCGGAATTATTTATCAGTAAACAATAGTTAATCTCTTCGAGGAAATCTGCTGATTTCCAATTGAATGTTATCTTGAAAATCCACCTCTAAAAATATCCATTGTTCGTAAATCTGCGTCGAAAGATGCACACGGAAAATCTCCCAAAACTTTAATTACATGCTTTTGCCTTTTAAGACGTGTTTTCATTCACCATTTTTTCTTTGAATTGTTTCATTGAGGAGATTTGTAAATTCAGTGCGTTGATAGATTTAATTCGCTTTTGCATATCTGCTTTTGGTGTGCAAACATTTCTCCTGCTTTGAAATCATGTACCTGAAATTAAACAGATGCCCTACCCTATTCTGATATTAGCGCTAAGACTGTTTGGCTGGAGGAGGAATGAAGATTTATTGAAAAATTAAAGAGAAAATTTGAGGAAGACAGAAAAAAGGAAGACATTATTTTGAACTAGCTGCCATACACAGCTGGTCGAGCAGAAAAAGCGTTCAATTAGAATGGAGCAAAAACAGTCTTCAATTACTTTAAAATACTTTCATTAAAAAAACATGTTGAATTAATGCAGTTACTGATATAACAGAAGTCGTCTGTATTTATTCAATCGAAGCTAGCCGCTGGCATGAAGGGGTAAAACAGACAAAAATGAAAGCCCAGATCAGACCACAATTATTTTGGAGTTTTTGAAAGTCAGTGCTACCAGGGATGTCAGAGAGGCTACATTTTGTTAAATACCTATGAGCGCTAATGGGCATGTTCCAATCCTCATGCATAGGTTGGACACTATTGTCAGTGGTGGGGAGGGTAATATGCTAAGTAGTCCACCACTTGCGGTGGTTTACCTATTTCACGCCGCTGGCGAGTATTGTATTTTGTTGATATTATAACGATTACCATTTCATTTCCAACCTCCTTTGGTGAGAAAGAAATAAAGAAATGAAAAATGAGTATTTTGAATGAAAAGAATAAGAATTATGAAAAAATATATAACGAAGATGTGAATATTTGGAATGAAAGAGAAAGAAGAGTAAATATCGAAAAAGTATTTTGCATGAGAATAAAAGAAAAGGCAATAACGAAATGAAAAGGAATAAAAGTTGTCATTCTGAATATAAATAACAGAAAAAAAATTAATTAAAAACACAATTTGAATGAATGAAAAACAAGGAAAAATAAGGAAAGAAATAAAAAATAAAAGAAAATATATTTAATGTAATAAAGAAAACTTCACAAAAATCATTGAAAGAAAATATTATTTTGATTGAGAATAAAAAAAATGAAAAAGACAAAAGAAAATGAACGATAAAGATGACATCGAAATTAAATGGATATGGCCTGAAAATATTAACACCTACTATCCTGGCATCAGAATTTAAACTAACACTAACCTTTAGCGATATATCTAAAGGTAACATTTCACTGAAATATGTTGGAAGATATCCTAGTTTTCATGTGCAATCACGATAAAACGAGTTTTAAGTAAAATGAACAATATATAAGGAAGAAGAGTAGCGTTTAGTTTAAATGGACGCCGGAGGGATAATTTAATATATAACGGAATTTTATTTTTAGTAACTTTAAATTTAATTCGTTTTTAATACTTGATATTGCCTTCTTTGTGATGCGATCAGTCAGTTATATGCCATGCATGATACACACTTGGGCAATTATGTATCATTCGATAGATGACTGACGAGGCAGAGTATTCTCCCGCTGTAGGTTGTCATTTCTTTCTGCCATCCATAGCTATAAAACCCGGACACACCATAGCTGGGTGGAGAAGAAGAGGATTCATAACTTTCCCAGTGTATTAGTACGTAAGTGAAAGTAATGGATTCGACTGGAATTCGAACTCGGCTCACCGATTCCTCAGTCCAAGTCGCTATCCATAACTGCACCGTCTAATCATTTTAAACTTTTTCCCATATATCTAAAATCTGTCATTCTGAAAAAAAAATTCACTGAAATATGGTGGGTAATTTCCAAGCTTTCGTTTGCAATAAAAAAAAATACAAAATTTAAGCAATATGGTCGGAATATATGAAAATATAAAAAGCGTCAGTTTAAACTGAACCCGGGAGGACAATAATATCAGGGGATAATTTATGACAGGTTGGAGATTAATTAGTTCCATTTCATATAGATCTTTAAAAATTGTGTCGGAATGTCTGTAGAACCAAATTTATAAACAGATTTCTTACAATATTTCACGTTCATAATTAAATCATTTCAAGTGTGAATTTTAAAATGGCTGGGATTTTTTAGCTGTAAAATGTCAAATATAAATTTGACTGATATATTTCTCGCCTCATATATTTGCTTGGGCCAAATAAATATCAGTTGAAAACAATAAAAATATTGAAAAACTACAAAACTCGACTCAAAACTTTGTCCATTTGTCAAAATAAGCCTCATCAATATCTTACACAATGTTGCCAACGATACGACTGTCACAATAAAACTGGTTTAATAATGGCAAATTATAAACTGTCGGAAGACATGTTTAACCTAGTCATCACAGATATACTTATGTACATCTCAGAAACACTGCTTCGTATTTCCTATTATTCTCGGGGGAAAAAAAAAGGCTGTCTGAGATGAACTCCCAACTTACCTAGGAATATGAAAGAAAAGGGGATGATTTGATGCCATCTCTGTGTCGATTTTTTAACTTATGAGTTCTTGAATTATACTGTAACTAGTAAAAATAACTTGTCTGTTCAGTAATTATATCATCTCTCTATATCTCTGAGATGAGGTATTAAGATTACTGGCATTATTTACATTATTCGGACTGTTATCCTCATCTTCATTGCCATATTCACAACGTTTCGGCCGTTGTACGCTCCGGCCTTTATGACTATATGTCTCTATATCTCTGTCTATATCTCTGAGATGAGGTATTATGATTTCTTGCATTAATTACATTATTCGGACTGTTATCCTCATCTTCATTGCCATATTCACAACGTTTCGGCCGTTGTACGCTCCGGCCTTTATGACTATGTCTCTCTATATCTCTGTCTATATCTCTGAGATGAGGTATTATGATTTCTTGCATTATTTACATTATTCGGACTGTTATCCTCATCTTCATTGCCATATTCACAACGTTTCGGCCGTTGTACGCTCCGGCCTTTATGTCTATGTCTCTCTATATCTCTGTCTATATCTCTGAGATGAAGTATTATGATTCCTTGCATTATTTACATTATTCGGACTGTTATCCTCATCTTCATTGCCATATTCACAACGTTTCGGCCGTTGTACGCTCCGGCTTTTATGTCTATGTCTCTATATCTCTGTCTATATCTCTGAGCATTATTTAATTATTCGACTGTTATTCATCTTCATTGCCATATTCACAACGTTTCGGCCGTTGTACGCTCCGGCCTTTATGTTATTCGGACTGTCTATATATCTCTGAGATCTATTATGATTACTTGCATTATTTATTATTCGGACTGTTATCCTCATCTTCATTGCCATATTTAACGTTTCGGCCGTTGTCTCCGGCCTTTATGTCTATGTCTCTATATCTCTGTCTATATCTCTGAGATGCGATATTATGATTACTTGCATTATTTACATTATTCGGATTGTTATCCTCATCTTCATTGTCATATTCACAACGTTTCGGCCGTTGTACACTTCGGCCTTTATGTCTATGTCTCTCTATATCTCTGTATATATCTCTGAGATGAGGTATTATGATTACTTGCATTATTTACATTATTCGAACTGTTATCCTCATCTTCGTGGCCATATTCACAACGTTTCGGCCGTTGTACACTCCGGCCTTCTTCAGGTGATTGGATCTCTGAGATGAGATATTATGATTACTGGGATTATTTACATTATTCGAACTGTTATCCTCATCTTCATTGCCATATTCACAACGTTTCGGCTGTTGTACACTCCGGCCTTCTTCAGGTGATTGGATCTCTGAGATGAGGTATTATGATTACTTGCATTATTTACATTATTCGTACTGTTATCCTAATCTTCATTGCCATATTCACAACGTTTCGGCTGTTGTACACTCCGGCCTTCTTCTGGTGATTGGATCTCTGAGATAAGGTATTATGATTACTTGGATTATTTACATTATTCGTACTGTTATCCTCATCTTCGTTGACATATTCACAACGTTTCGGTCGTTGTCCGTCCCGGATTTCTTCAGCTGATTAGAATTTCGAACTGAACCCTTTATTTTGTTCATTGGGGTAGATTGTCATACCTCTTCCGGATGTTTCAGTTATTTCCCTTTAACTGAATTCTCCACATTTTTTGGTTCACCATTGCTGTAGCCTGGTATTAAACTCACAACTCTTTGTGTCTAGTCACTGGATCTAACCAACATCTTTATTACCAGTGAGCAAATCAAAGTACCATAGACTGGCCCAGAAACTCTCCTGATTTAAATCCAATCGAGAATCTGCAAGGCATGACTTCATGAAATGGACATACGAAAGACTAACATGTACACTGTGTCATGTTTCATTTGGGGAAAAAAAGTAAGTCATAACGGTATTATTCGTTTTGTTTCAATTAATTTGCACCAGGGTGTAGCTCCCAATGTATGACAGATAGTACTCAATTATGCCTAATGATAATCCGCATTGATCTAATTTTTCTTGTTGGCTAGCACAGATCGCTTTCCGGCCCAGATTTAAAGGACATGTTGCAGCTGCTGTACGTATAAACGTGCATTTTTTATCTAATTTGCACGAGGATGTATTTTGCTATCCCAATTTGTCTTCAGGTTTCTGTGTTACTGTTTTCATCAATTGTTATGGCACTTCTCAGTTTGTTAGTGAAAGAAAAAAACAACACTTTTAAACATTTATGATAATAAACACTGAAAACAAGAAGTAAAAGCAATACAAAATTCAAACAACACTTAAGAGGAGATGGAAAACGTTAAAATGATTTCGAGTTGTAAACATAAATGGAAGAGAGAAAAAAACTGATCGTAAAATCGACCTGTGATTTTGTACGGGACTAATTGCCCCCAAAATCTGAATTTTGAATAAATTTTATTGAAGTCTTCACTGCAGTGATGCAAAAAAAGAAAGAAAAAAAATAAAAGAAGTGACAGCCAAAATAGAAAGAAAGAAAGACAGAAAAAAAAGAAGTGAGAGAGAAAAAAAGGAAAGACAAAAAACAGCAAAATATTTAACGAGAAAAACGGAGGTAAAAGAAAACTTAAGACAGAGTAAAGAAAGAAAGAAAGAAAGAAAGAAAGAAAGAAAAAAAGGGGAAATAGAAAGAAAGAAAGAAAGAAAGAAAGGAGAAATAGAAAGAAAGAAAGAAAGAAAGGGGAAATATAAAGAAAGAAAGAAAGAAAGAAAGAAAGAAATACATAATATATCAAATAATAAAAACAAAAAAGAAAAGATAAACAATACAAAGAAAGAAATGAAGGCGCAGTAAATAAACAAAGAAAGAAACGAAATAAATGAATCGTCAAATAAATATAGAAAGAGAGTAAATGAAGCACGAAATGATTGAATAAACGAATGAATATATATATATATATATATATATATATATATATATATATATATATATATATATATATATATATATGAGGCAACAAGTATAAAAGAAATAAAAAGAAAGAAAGAAAGTGATGTAATGTATATGCATACACCTGGGTTCCCCCTCAAAGTAATATGATTGGCTGGTGTCAGCCATAAATACAGACTGATGTGGAGGTACATGGACTACGCCTATTGGTCTACGCCTATTGGTCTACGCCTATTGGTCTACGCTCATTGGCCTACGTCTATTGCCTAAGCTTATTGCCTACGACTACGACGAATACCAGTCCATTACGACTACCTGCTAGATTTACAATAGGCAAATTACGGCTACCTGCTAGGTTACAGTAGCCAAAACCACTTAAATACTTCGAACAAATATATCCGTTTCCGGGACATATCAGAAAGAAAGAAAGAATGGTGCAGTATAGAAAAGAAGAAAGAATTAAAAACAGAAAATGATACTCAAAATAAAGAAAGATGCAGCAAAGAATGAATGAAAGAAGTGTCAGAAAGGAAAGAATCCAAAAATGAAAAATACCGTGAATTTTTTTTAAAACAATAACCCCCCCCTCCAAAAAAAACCCAAGACCACTAAAAGAAATTAAAAATAAAAAAACAAAACAAAAACAATGAGCTGGGAGCAGTTATAAAATGGGCACAGATGAAACTCATTTTCAATATCGTCTTGAGAATTGTCATTTTAAAAAAAATACCTTCTACTTTAAATAAAAGAATTGAATAAGAATTCAAGAATTTTAGATTTCAACTGAAAATGCAAATGAAAGTTGATCAACTGCAAATTCGATAGGCAATATATTGGGATTTGATAGCGATCATGTAATCAATAAAAAAAAGTCTAGAGAAATGTAAATCAACACAATCATGCACACACACACAACACACAAACACACACACACACACACACACACATATATATATATATATATATATATATATATATATATATATATATATATAGGCAGATAAAATACATTTGTGCGTGATCACACAAAAGATACATTTATCGAAAAAAAGACTCACCATGCATATATACACACATAAGACAGAAAAGTACAGAAAAAATATGTACACACACAATTATATATATATATATATATATATATATATATATATATATATATATATATATATATATATATATATATATATATATATATATATATATATATATATATATATATATATATATATATATATATATATATATATATATATATATATATATATATATATATATGTGTGTGTGTGTGTGTGTTTAAGAAAGACAGACAAAAGGTACTGCGGTTTTTGTCTTGAAACTGACTGTCTAAGTGTAAGATTTAAGTAAGATAAAATACAATTTTAAGTTATGCTATATTATGGATAAAAGTGCCCAATATCAAGGATATAGTGTATGTAAATATCAAACGTTTGTGGGTGTTTGTATATATGTGTGTGTCTCATTGAATTTTCACAGGCAAGGGAAATATATAATTTTCATTAAGTGTTTCTCATGCTGTTCATTTTTTTCTCTTTTGGAATATTAGTGACAAGAGATTGTAGAAACTGACCGTAAACATTACTCTCTCTAGCCCTTTCGGTCAATTAATTGTCATCTACAAGAGGCTTCGATATTAGTGTTCTAAGTTTTATAGTTTGGTAGTAGCAGAAGTTCTAAGAGGTGTGAGAAGAAATTTGGTTACACTCCATATTGAGATATATTTTTTTTGTTTTTTTTATAATTACAGGTACAACGTTACGACCATTATCAAAATAGGTTATGGTTGAGACCTTAATTGAATTGACTTGCATCAACTTAAGACGCCGTTTTTATATCAAATAATTACATTGCAGCATACAAGAAACTGTATCTCAGAAGAAAAACCTGAAAAATATTTTAATTATGTGAGATATATCATTACATATTTGTGTTGTCGGTACCCGCTCGGATCCGAGCATTGTGAACGTCATCCCCTATCATCATCCAGGCTTTGATACGTCCAGCAGCAAGGCCTCTGATCAGGAGATATTGAGGAGCGAGGGACCACCTCTTAATTGCTGGTGTTCCCAGTTTCACCCTGACCGGGTTGGTAGCACCTGTTAGGGTCCCAGCTATTACCAGCAATACTTTTTTGAAAAGAAATACAATTTTGAAAGAAATAAATTACCATAATCAGATTTTTGACTAAACAAAATATTACCAACAATAAAAATTTTTGTCGGCATTAAATAACACATTGAGGTTGATATGCCGTTAAACAAAATAAACCAAACCAAGCCTCTGATTTGACGATGTCATTCACGTGAATCTGATATAGACGAACAACTCTGCGCGACTGAGTAACCAACAAAGTGCGTCCCTGGTGGCTCAAAATCATTGAATAATACGCATCATTATATAATTGTTTTCAGACAGTCCTAAATAAGCTTACAAAAAGTGGAAAATTTGGAAAAGCAATGATTTTTCATAGCCAGTGGTAAATGCCATTACGGAAGTTCACGGAAGTATGGAAATTGGTGAATTTCAACGCGGGCAAATAATAGGATGGCATCATTGTGGCAAGTCAAATAGAGAAATTGCTAGGTTTTTTCCAGGTTAATCAACAAACGGTTAAAACTATTGTCGGGAAATTTAATGAAGAAGGCGATTGTCGTGTGGTTCAACGTTCAGGAAGACGAAGCATCGTGTCCGAGGAAACGAATAGGGCGCTGGAGAGGGAAGTCAACAGAAACTGTCGTCAGAGCGTCAAAAATGTCGCCAACAGCAGGGAAATGTCGCCATATGCGGTGAGAAATACTATGAAAGAGCTAGGCTACCAAAGAAGAGTCGCAAGAAAGAAGCCCTTGAATTCAGAGGTTAACAGAAACAGGCATATGGACTGTGCGAGAGAATTCGAGAGCAAAGTTTATGAATTTTGGCAGTCTGTAATTTGGTCAGATGAAAGTAAATTCTGCCAATATTCGAATTCGAGACAGGTTTATGTTTGGAGAAATCAGAATGAGACTTGAGTCAGGCGACAGTGAAACATGGTGGGATTGGAATAATGGTATGGGACGCTGTCTGGTTTGGAGGGAAATCTGAGTTGATTCCTGTTGAAAGGTTGAATGGTCCAAAATATTGTCAAATATTAGAGAAAGGACTACTCCCACTATTTGAAACAAATCAGATTGACAAGAATGACTACATTTTTCAAGACGATGGAGTGCCATGTCATACGAGCAAAGAAGCAAAGGCCTGGAAGGAATCGCAAGGAATCAAGTCACTGCTATGGGTAGCCCAAAATCCTGACATGAATCCAATTGAGTACGTTTGGGAGCACCTTGACCGAAAACGTCGAGAGCGTGCAACCAAAATCACATCAGTGGCAACCCTTATAGGAGTGGCAAAATATAGATCAGACGATTGTTGATAACTTGATCAAATCCATGAAAAATCGAACACAAGCACTGAAATTAAAATAAAAATGGAGGACCTCCTCTATACTAGCTCCAAATTATGTTTATCTATGTTGAGTTGGGACTATGTAATTAAATTTTGAAATTGGATTTCGTTTATGTCTTCTGGATAAAAACTTTTCTTAGGACACTCTACATTACTGGCTCAAGGAAGAGGGGACACATTTTGGAATAAATATCACTCATTTAAAAAAAAAAAAAAAAAATTATCATCTACTGGACTCGTGGTAATGAATACCTGTAATGAATGAAGTTCTCAATATAAACGGAGCATAAAGGTTCGATTCTTTTCAGGAGGTGAATTTTCTTTAATAAGACTTTCGACTGCTAATCCGGCCGACAATCATGTTTATAAAAAACAGGACGTCTACTCAAACACGTGATAACGTTAAATATAAGATTATTTTAAAACGAAAATTAGTCGCATTAAAATAAAGCCATAAGTTAATCATTAGACATACCTCTGAAAATTTTACGGTTTTTCTAGCTGAATTTTCTGATGACTCCCAATTCTTCAGTTTTTGATTAAATTACTTCATGGCAAGTCCCACAGCTATAAAATACCCATGAAATTTTCCCAATTACCTGATATCTGAGCTTAACAGCTTTAAAAAAATATTGCAATAACAATCATATGCATGACTGCAGGTCATTATTTAAAGAAGTGGGTACAAATAAGATAAAAAATTAAGATGGCTTCACAGACATGAAAGAAATGAACATTATTACGTCCTTTGTTTTCCCTTTCATTTTTACTCTCCCTTTTCTTTTCTTTTTCTTCCCTAGAACCAAATAGCGCCTTTGATGTTACTTTTTCTTCCGTTTTATGGGCAGGAGACAGGCAAGCTATTACAGAGCTAGTTCTTCAAATAAACATGGGATGGTCCATTGTTTGTCTGGGGTTAATGGAATAGTGGAATGTAGATTCTAACTGATGAAAGAACAGAATTATATTATGTGATTTTTATATATACGTAAGTGATTTGTTTACAAGCAACTATATAGCTTATTCTTCTTCAACGTCTATTTTTCTTATATTTAATGTTCAAATTTTGTTTGATGTATGTTCGAAAATTAACAATAAAATATACCATAAAATAAAAGTATATAAATTAGTTTGTAGATATATTATTTGAAAAAAATACGGTAGTTTTGGATACTACTAGTTGTATTTCATACTTTATTGGTGTATTTATTGTATAAAAATACAATTTTGGTACATGGCCTAAAAAGGGGAGGGGTTGAGGCTGGTCGACACTATATTATCTTATACCTAGCTAATCCGATTCACAAGCCATTCACACATTACAGTTTCCACATTCACCATAAGAACTCTTCCATCGCCAATCAATCCTCTATCCA